AGGGAGGCCAGGGTGGGTGGATCACAAGGTCAGGAGTTTGGGACCAGCCTGGCCAAGATGGTGAAACCCCATCTCCACTAAAAATACAAAAATTAGGTAGGTGTGGTGGCGGGTGCTTGCAATCCCAGCTACTCGGGAGGCTGAGGAACGAGAATCACTTGAACCCAGGATGCAGAATGTTCAGTGAGCTGAGATCGTGCCACTTCACTCTAGTCCGGGCAATAGAGCAAGAATCCATTTCAAAAAAAAAAAAGATAGAAACATCTCAAATTAACCACCTAATATCACACGTCTAAGAACTAGAAAAACAAGAACAAATCAAACCCAAAGCTAGCAGAAAAAAAATAAGAAACATTAGAGGAGAACCAAATGAGATTGAGACTAAAACAATGATGCCAGAATCAAAGAAATTAAAAACGTGTTATTTGAAAAGTTAAACAAAATTATAGACTACTAGTTATATTAACCAAGAAAGAGAGAAAATTCAAATGAGCAAAATCAGAAATGACAAAGGCAACATTGCAACTGCTAGAACAGAACACAAAAACTAACAAATATTACTATGAACATCTCCATGCACACAAAATAGAAAACCTAAAGAAAATGATTTAATTTTTGGAAATATACAAGTTTTCAAAATAGAACCAGAAATAAATAGAAATTCTAAACACACCAATAATAAGCAAGCACATTTAATCAGTAAAAGAGCAAGAACAAAGAAAATCCCAGGGCGAGATGGATTCTTAGCCAAATTTTATGAACTGTACAAAGATCCAAAACAAACCTTCCTGAAGCTATTTCATGATATTCCTCATTATAGGAAACAAGTGTCACCTTGATACCAAAATCAAGCAACACGACTAAAAATGAAATCTAAAGGCCAATATCCCTAATGAACATGGATGCAAAAATTCTCAACAAAATACTAACAAACCGAAACCAAGAGCACATCGAAGAGATAATTTATCATGATCAAGTAGGTTTTAATGCAGGAATAAAGGGTGTTTCAACATTCATAAATTAATAAATTTGATTCACCAAATAACCAAAATTTAAAACAAAAACCATATGATCATCTCAAAAGAGACACAAAAGCATTTCATAAAATCCAACATTTCTTTCTCATAAAACGCTTAACACACTATGTATTGAAGACATATCTCAAAATAATAAGAGTCATACATAACAAACCCACAGCCAACATCTTCCTAATGGGAAGGGAATGGGAAAATGTTGAAAGCATTCCCCCTGTGAACTGGCAAAAGACAAGAATGTCCACTGTCACCACTCTTATTTAACATAGAACTGGAAGTCCTCACCAGAAAACCCAGGCAATGAAAAAAAAAAGCCATCCAAGTTGGAAAAGAGAAATTCAAATGATCAATTTTTTCTGATGACATGATTTTATACCTATCAAACTATAATGACTCCTTCAAAGGACTGCTAGACTTGATTGGAAAAAAAACTTCAATAAAATTTGAAGATACAAAATCAATGTAGAAAAATCAGTAGCATTTCTATACACCAATAATGTTGAAGCTAAAACCCAATTAATAACTCAGTCCCATTTGCAATAGACAAAAACAAAATAAAATATCTAGATATAAGTAAAATTAAGCAGGTGAAAGATCTCTACAAGTAAAAATACAAAATACTGATGAAAATAATCATGGATGAAACAAATAAAAAGATTACCATGCTCACGGATTGGGAGAATCAATATCATGAAAATGATCATACTGCCCAAAGCAAACTACTGATTCAATGCAATTCCTAACAAACTACCAACATCATCCTTCAAATTACAAAAAAAAAAAAAAAAAAATCTAAATTTCATAAAAAGGCAATCCTAAGCAAAAGAACAAAGTCACAGGTATCACTTTACCTGACTTCAAATTATAGTAACAGGCTATAGTAACTAAAACAACATGGTACTTGTACAACAGTAGACACGTGGATAAAATAGAATAGAGAACCTAGAAATAAAGCTACAAACATACAACAAACTGAACTTTGACAAAGTTAAACAAACAATGAGAAAAGGACACTGTAATCATTAAATGGTATTGAGAAAATTGGCTAGCCAAAGCAGAATAATGAAACTAAACCCCTATCTCTTACCATTGGCAATGTTAAATTAACATGGATTAAGGACCTACAAGGAAGATCTGAAACTATGAATGTGCTAGAGGAAAACCTCGGGAAAACTCTTCTGGACATTGAGCTAGGTCAAGATATAATGATGAAGATGCCAAAAAGGAAATGCAACAAAGACAGGTAAATGGGAATTAAACTAAAAAACTTATGGGCAGCAAGAGAAATAATCAACAGAAAATCCACAGAATGGGAAAAATATTTTCAAATTCAGGCTCCAACAAAGGACTTTTATTTAGATTCTATAAGGAACTCAATCCAACAAGTAAACAAACAATCCTGTTAAAAACTAGGCAAAAGACATGAACAGACATTCATCAAATGAAGACACACAAGCAGCTCACAAATATACAGGAAACTGTTCTTAATACTCATCTGAAAAATGCAAATTAAAAGCACATTGAGATATCATCTTGCACCAGTCAGAATGACTATTATTAAAATGTCAAAACACAACAAATATCAGTATGGATGTGGAAAGAAGGCAAAATGTGCATATACATACTAAGATGCATATATATATATATATACTAAATATATATACATACACTAAGCATATATGCTTATGGAATACTAAGCATCCACTAAAAAGAGTGAAATTATATCCTTTTCAGCAACATAGATGAAACTAGAGGATATTATTCTAAGTTAACTAACTTAGAAACGCAACAAAATCCACATATCCTCATTTATAAGGGGAAGCTAAGCAATGGGTACACACAGACATAAACATGGAAACAGACATCAAGTACTTCAAAAGGGAGAAAGGAGGAGACAGGGGCAAAGGTTATAACACTTCCTATTGGGTACAATGTTCACTATTTGAGTGATGTGTACACTAGAGGCCCAAAGCTCACCAGTAGGTAACGTGTCTATATAACAAACCTACACATGTACCTATTTAATCTAAAATGATTTAAGATTTTAATAAATAAAAATCAGAAAGTCTTTCTTTACTAATTTCAATGCCGGTAATTCTTCACAGTTTCTGTCAGCTTATTTTCTTCCTCATAATGAATGCTGTTTTCCTGTTTCTTTGTAGCTTTGTTATTGTTTTTATTGCACATTTGAAAAACAGCCACATTTCACAATCTATATTATTTCTATGTCATGACAATAATCAGCTAATATGCTTGGCATATTCTTAGTCTCGGCGTCAGCTCTACATGAAAACTTAAGGTCTTCTCAGTTCTTTTCTGAATATGCATCTGCCTAGACTCTGTGTGCCCTATTTGATTTCTCCAAATGCCCAATGGCTTTTGAATACCTTATCATGTCAAAAATTCACAGCTCAGCTTCTCCTCAGTGCCATAGATGGCCTATTGTGTGTCTCTTCCCCCTAATCTCTTGCCAGTGGCATCCGTGCATCTATTGTCACCCTGCATCTCTACTGAGCCACTCTATAAATAAGTGAGTTTATTTTAGTTCATTTCAGATTTTTTTTTGATAATTCCATGGGAGATTTGAGAGCTTTCTAATCCACCATCCTGCTGATGACACTCTGTTTGAAAATTTTAAATGGCTCTATTATATTCCATTGCTTCAATGTGTAGTAATTTACCTATTATTTTCTTTTATTGTTACTTTCAGGAAGAAGTGAATAGAAGCAAAGAGGGTGTTGCAAATCAAAAGCACATAGAGATATCATCTTATATCAGTCAGAATGGCTATTCTTAAAATTCTTGGCTCACTGCAACTTCTTCCTCCTGAGTTTAAGCAATTCTCTCGCCTCAGTCTCTGAGTAACTGGGATTACAGGTATCTACCACCACGCCTGACTAATTTTTGTATTTTTCATGGAGACAAGATTTCACCATGTTGGCCTTGGCTGGTCTCGACCTCCTGACCTCAAGTAATCCTACCGTCTTGGCCTCCCAAAGTGCTGGGATTACAGACATGAGCCACTGCCCCCAGCCTAATCATCATTTTCTAATCTGCACTCCAATGGGAAAAACAAGTAAAATTATGCCATCTGAGGATTATTCACCAATTTAATTACTTTTTTCTTTATAATATTTAATAAGATCACAAATTATATAAAATAGTTATCAGTTTTTTGGGAAGTTACTTTTGCTGGTTTCTTATAAAACTGGATGGAAAATACAAACACTATTTAAGCACTCTTTGCATATTGCAAATTATGTCCAAAGTCCAAACACTGTTAATGATTAATACTCCAATAAATATTGTGTCAGAATTTTTCTTTTCCCTTTGAACCTTTGTAGGATTGCCACATCATGAGCACCGCACCTCCATCAGGGATGAAAATTCCTACTACAATTAAAAGAAAGAAGAAACAAAATTAATTTGCTGATGAAAAATGTAAAAAGAGAAATTTTCTTTGGTTTTGTTTCTTTATTGAGGGTCATCATTTTTAAAAAATGCTCACTAGTCATTCTTTTGAATATTGTCTGTGTGAAAGATGTAAGATGGTTGATTATTTCAAATGACAGAAGATAAAGATGAGATATCATCATGGCATTAACAAAAACGAGATTTGTAGCTGGAGTTCTTTTATAGTCTAACATGATCACCAATCATTCTATAAATCTGTTGGATGAGTTTATTATATATAGATAGATGGATTCTGAATAGAAAATTTCACTTTAGAAAAAATATTTTATTTTCACTATATAATAATGTACTTGAGAATTCTCTTTGATAAGAAACAAGTGAACCGGATTCAATTTTCTTCATGTCTTGTGTAATACACTGTCACTTGCTTGCTCCTACATTTCATTGATTAGCCCCAGGGAGCAGCGCAGCATTGCCTGCCCATTGTTTATATAACCCCTGGATATAAATACCAGATGTTGACAAAGGAAACAGGATCTGCTTGGTGAAAGAAGTGGCATGCAATGGATCCCAAATATCAGCGTGTGGCGCTAAATGATGGTCACTTCATGCCCGTATTGGGATTTGGCTCCTATGCACCTCCAGAGGTAATAATCACATTTTCAGCGTTGAGCATTTAAAAGAGCAAAGCTAGAATAAGTGGACGATGACCTGGGTTGTTCAGCTTTGTGTTTCCGTTACTCTGCGTGACTCATCTGGTCTGTCTTACTAGGCTAGAGCTATTCTACGTTCAAAGAGAAAAGGTAGTCAATGTTTGGTTTGCACTGAGGTCTATCATACAGTAATTTACTGCTTATTTTGTACACTGTTTTTATCTGCTGTTTCTGTGTATTGCCCAGCTTGGCAGAATATATAAAACTCAACGGTGAAGAACACTGCCTGATAGTTCCCTTTGTAGGAGATGACTGCAGTGAGAATGGTTTCTCTATTTATTTCTGTGGTTGCAGAAATCTTTTATTCTTCCACTAGGCATGATCAAAAGAAACCTTTGTGGCAACAGCGCCTGAAGATGGGGTGTATGAAAACTGCTGGGATAGTATTGCTGAGCTGCCGCGTGGCCTTGAGTATGGCACAGTAATACTGGTCCTGGACTTAATACCCTGTACAACTCTCAACTCTAGGAAAATTACCTGACAGGAAAAATAACTTTAAGAAATTTGTATCACAATGATAGGGGTGGTCCTCCGACACAGAAGTGGGCAAAATGGAGACTTTTTTTTCTAGACTGAGCTATTTCTACATTGGAAGAAAACTTGTATTCCAAGACTACTAAGTGTGTTGATAAGGACTAGTCACATAAAATTTGTGTCTAAATTTGATCAACTATATGTTGTAAGAATTTACAGAGAAACACCCTGAAGACCATCAACAGGAGTGGTTCACTTTGTAATGCAAATTGGCATGAAGGGGAAGTAAGGAAAAACACAACACAGAAGCTTTAGCCTTCATAAACCTTGAGTGCTTGCACAGCAAAGAGAAGATCAGGGCTGGTATAGGGGAAGGCAGTGAGACCTGGCATCTAGTTCCTTTTAATTTCACTAGGAAAAGAAAGCTTCCAAAATACTTACATTAAAATAGAAAATTGTTTCATTTATGGTTTTGTCATTTAAAAAATATACCTTTAAAATCTTTATCCAAATTTGGTAGATAAGTCAATAATTTTAAATTTCACTGAAATTATATCATTCCTAAAACAGTTGATCTTATTTGTTAGGGATAAAGAGTACTTTACTAATCTCTCACAGGTTGCAGTTAATTTCTTAGGTATAAATCTACATACTTGGAGTATATGTCTTTACTCCTAGTATTTGGTTCTGTCATGCACACAGAATGGCTAATGGCTGTGTAGAAAGGAGTTAGCACAATAGACTGCCACCCATAGATGCACCTGTTTTCAAAGTTGGAGCCTGGCTGGTATCTGAGAAGTTGAATTTCTCATCCTTTCTTAACTGATAAGGGTGCTGTCTATAATTAACTGGTTGTATAAAGTGTAGGGTTTCTGTATACCTGCTTTCTTTACAAGACTGGAAGTTTGGTGGGTGCTATACAGACTGGGTCAATGTAACCAGCACCCAGTTAAAATCTTGGGAATTGAGTCTCCAAATAGCATCCCTTGTAGTCAACATTGCTGGAGGAAGTCAGTGTGTTTCCTGCAACATCACTGAGAGACTAATCATAGGAACTTACACTGTATTCTTACCATAATTTCTTCTGTGTGCCTTTTTCCATGTGTTAATTTCACTATATTAAAAAATAATTAGAAGTGGGTATGCAGTGACTCATGCCTCTAATCCCAGCACTTTGGTAGGCCAAGCCAGGTGGATTCCTTGAGCTCGGGAGTTTGAGCCTGGGTAACATAGTGAAATCCCCTCTCTACCAAAAATACAAAAACTTAACCGGGAATCATGGTGCCTGTCTGGTCCTAGCTATCTGGGAGGCTGAGGTGGGAGGATCACTTGAGCCCAAGGTGAAGAAGGTGGGGGTGGGGGCAGATTTTGTAGTGAGCCAAGATTGTGCCACTTTATACCAGCCTGGGTGACAGAGTGAGACTCTGTCTCAAATAATAACTATAAGTTGAGTCTTGTTAATTTTTCCAACAAATGACTAAATCTGAAGTTTTTGTTGGGAAACTTCATGCTAGTGATTAACCAGTAATTGCCTGGGACTGAAGAGGTTCAGGGATACCCAATCTTTATTACTAACTAGGAAAGACTAAAGCAAATTGGGATAGGTTTATCACTCCACGTGTAGAACTAACCCAAGACACGAAGATAATGTGATTTTTGTGAAGGTCATTGCTGGTGCCTGAACTACTGATACGGAAGTGCTGGGAAGGGAAGAGCATGGTCTCTTTAAATTACACAGAAGTGGGGAAGGGAAGTGCTGGGTGGAGGAGGATGTGGTCCCTGGCTAGGGCTCCACCTCCAGGGACCTAGGTGAGGACAGGCATTTTTGTTTTCCTGCCCAAATGTTGCATTTCCCAAGACCACCCTGGCCTGCCATGCCCCCATCCTGTGCCTATAAAAACCCCAAATCTTAGAAAGGCAGAGACAGAACCGGATGGACTTTGAGAGGAGCACATCGGCAGAGGAACACACACAGGCAGCTGGACATCTAGAGAAACGCACCAAAAGGCACCAGCACGCCAGCGGGCCACCTACTGGCAGAAGCAGAATGACGCTGAATTTGACTGGGGCAGTCAAAAGACAATCCAGGCTGCTGATAGGGGAAAACGTTCCTACTCCATCCCCTTCTGACTTACCCCCAAGCTACCTCCACTCTCCACTCAATAAAATCCTGCACTCATTCTCCAAGCCCAGGTGTGATCCGATCCTTCCGGTGCACCAAAGCAAGAATCCAGGATACAGAAAGCCCTCTGTCCTTGCAACAAGGTAGAGGGTCTAACTGAGCTGGTTAACACAGCCTGTAGATGGCAAAACTAAAAGAACAAAACTGAAAGAGCACCCTGTAACACACGCCCACTGGGGCTTCAGAAGTTGTAAACATCCACACCTAGACACTGCTGCGGGCTCGGAGCCCCACACCCTGCCCCCATCTGTATGCTCCCCTAGAGGTCTGAGCAGCGGAACACTGACCACACCCCCATCGCACACCCTGTGAGGACAAGGGAACTTTTCCTGTTTCACTACCTCTCAAGCACATTAATCACCAAATACTACTTTCCGTTGCTCCTTCAGGTTCCGAGGAACAGAGTTGTGGAGGTCACCAAATTAGCAATAGAAGCTGGCTTCCGCCATATTGATTCTGCTTATTTATACAACAATGAGGAACAAGTTGGACTGGCCATCCGAAGCAAGATTGCAGACGGCAGTGTGAAGAGAGAAGACATATTCTGCACTTCAAAGGTACTGTGCCTGTGATGAGCTTGTGTGCACATGTATTTAATGTGATCATGTGGAGATGACAATTCTGTAACTGGTTCAGTAGTTGTGGGTGAATTGTGCTTATTAGTTCCAACTTATTCACACATATTCATGTATTAAAACTGAAATAAAAGGCAGAGCATGATGATGCCTTTCTCATCATTATTGTGTTCAAATTTATTACTTGAAAGTTACTTTAGTGTTGAGCCTCAGCTCAGTGTAATTTTTTTATGAATTCATATTTTAATTTCAATGGGTTTGGGGATACAAGTGGATTTTGGTTACATGAATCAATTCTATAGTAGTGATTCTGAGATTTAAGTGAAGCTGTCAGGCGATCACTGGACATTGTACTCAATATGTAGGCTTTTATCCCTCACCTTACTCCCAACCTAACCCACACTGAGTCTTGAAAGTTCATTATATAATCTGTATGTTTATACATCCTCATAGCTTAGTTCCCACTTAAAAGTGAGAATGTACAGTGTTTGGTTTTCCATTCCTGAATTACCTTACTTAGAATAATGGTCTCAAGCTCCATCCAAGTTCCTGCAAAATATATTATTTCATTCCTTTTTATATACACACTATTCCATGATGTGTGTATATATATACCACATTTTCATTATTCATACATTGGTTGATGGGCACCTGGATTGGTTTCATATTTCTGCAATTGTGAATTGTACTGCTATAAACGTGTGGGTATGTGTCTTTTTCATATAATGACTTTTCTTTTTGTTAGATACCAGTATTGGGACTGCTGAATCAAATGGTAGATCTACTTTAAGTTCTTTAAGGAATCTCCAATACTGTTTTCCGTGATGATTATAGTCATTTACATTCCTACCAGCAGTGTAAAACTGTTCTTTTTACTATATGCATGCCAACTTCTGTTTTTTCAACTTTTTAATTATAACCATTCTTGCAGAAGGCGATGTGATATTGTGATTTTAATTTGTACTTCCCTGATTATTAGTAATGTTGAGCATTTTTTCATATGTTCATTGGCTGTTTGTATACTTCTTTTGAGAAATGTCTATTCATGTTATTTGCCCACTTTTCAACAGGGTTGTTTTTATCTTGGTTACTTAAGTTCCTTGTAGATTCTGGATAATAGTCCTTTGCTGGATACATAGTTTGCAAAAATTTTCTCCCATTCTGTAGGTTGTCCGTTTACTCACATAATTATTTCTTTTGCTGTGCAGAATCTTTTCAGTTTAATTAGTTCTCATTTATTTTTGCTTTTTGTACATTTGCATTTTGGAGTCTTAGAGATAAATTCTTTGCTGATGCCAACGTACAGGCCAATGTAAAGAAGAGTTTTTCCAAAGTTATCTTCTAGAATTTTTATGGTTTCAGGTCTTAGACTTAAGTCTTTGATCTGTCTTGAGTTGGTTTTTGCATATGGTGAGAGATGGCTTCCAGTTTTATTCTTCTACATGTGTCTTGACAGTTGTCCCAGCACCATTTATTGAATAGGGTTATTTTCCTTAATTTATGTTGTCTGCTTTGTTGAACAAAGATTAGTATTTGGCCTAATTTCTGGGTTCTCTGTTTCATTGATCTAAGTTCCTATTTTTTATACCAGTACCATGCTGTTTGTGTAACTATAGCCATGTAGTATAATTTGAAGTCTGGTAATATAATGCCTCCAGATTTCTTCTTTTTGCTTAGTATTGCCTTGGCTATTGAGGCCCTTTTGTGGTTTCATGTGAATTTAGAATATGGTCATTTTCATACTATTGATTCTATCCATAAGCATGGGATGTGTTTCCATTTGTTTATGTATCATTTCTTTTAGCAGTGTTTTGTATTTTTTTGTAGAGATCTTTCAACTCTTTGGTTAAGCATATTCCTAGGGATTTTATTTGCAGCTGTTGTAAATGGAATTCTTAATTTGACTCTCAGCATGGTTGTTGTTGAATAGCAGTGCTACTAATTTCTGTAAACTGATTTTGTAACCTGAGACTTTATTGAATTTGTCAGATAGAGGAGCTTTATTGGATGAGGCTTTGGGGTTTTGTAGGTATATGATCATATTATTGGCAAACAGCAATACTTTGGCTTACTCTTTTCCAATTTGGATGCCCTTTATTTTTTCACCTTGCCTGATTACTCTGGCTAGGACTTCCAGTACTACATTTAACAGAAGTGGTAAAAATTGGGTATCCTTATCTTGTTCCAGTTCTCAGGGGAATGCTTTCAATTTTTCTCCATTCAGTATGATGTTGGCTATGGATTTGTTATACATGCTTTTTATGCCTAGTTTGTTGAGGGTTTTTAATCATAAATGGATTCTGGATTTTACTGGGTTTTTTTGCATCTATTGAGATGATCATATGGTTTTGGTTTTTAATTCTCTTTGTGTGATATATTTGTTGGCTTGTGTATATTATAGCATCCCTGCACCCATGGGATGAAGCCCGTTGATCATGATATATTTTTGATGTGCTGACGGACTTGGTTAGCTAGTATTTTCTTGAGGATTTTTGCATCTGTGTTCATCAGGGAGATTGGTCTACAGTTTTCTTTTTCTGCTTTTTGTTTTTGTTTGTTATGTCCTTTCCTGGTATTGGTATTAGGGTGATGCTGGCTTCATATAATAATTTAGGCAGGATTCCCTCTTTCTCTATATTTTTGAATAGTTTCAGTAGGATTGGCACCAATTCTTCTTGAATGTCTGGCAGAATTCAACTGTGAGTCCACCTGAACCTGGACTTTTTGGTGGCAATTTTCTTTGTTGTTGTTGATTCAATCTTGCTGCTTGTTATTGGTCTTTTCTGGGTTTCTATTTCTCCCTGATTTAATCTAGGAGGGTTGTATGTTTCCAGGTATTTATCCATTTACTCTAGATTTTCTAGTCTGTGCACATAAAGGTATCCTTAGTTGTCTCAAATGATTGTTTTGTATTTCTGTGGTATCATTTGTAATGTGTCCAGTTTCATTTCTAATTGAGCGCTTATTTCGATTTCTCTTCCTTTCTTGGTTAATCTCACTAATGGTCTCAATTTTGTTCATCTTTTCAAAGAACCAGCTTTTAGCTTATTTGATCTTTTGTAATTTTTTAATTTCAATTCATTTAGTCCTGCTTTGATCTTTGTCATTTCTATTCTTCTGCTAGCCTGGGGTTTAGTTTCTTCCTGTTTCTCTAGTTCATAGAGGTGTGACATTAGATTGTGAATTTGTGCTGTTTCAGATTTCTTGATGTAGGCATTTAATGTTATGAACTTTCCTCTTAGCACTGCTTTTGCTGTATCCCAGAGGTTTTGATAACTGTGTCAATAGTATCATTTATTTCAAAAAATTACTTGTCATTTTGATTTTTTTAACCCAAAAACATTCAAGAACAGATTAATTTCCATGTATTTTTGTAGTTTTGAGGGTTCCTTTCAGAGTTGATTTCTAGTTTTATTCCACTTAGTTCTGAGAAGATACTTGATATAATTTGGATTTTCTTAAATTTATTGAGACTTGTTTTGTGGCCTATCATATGGTTTATCTTGGAGAATGTTCTATGTGCTGATGAGAAGAATGTATATTCTACAACTGGTGGGTAGAATGTTCTGTAAACATGTTAAGTCCATTTTTTAAGAGTACAATTAAATCCATTGTTTGATTTTCTGTTTCAATTATTTGACTAGTGCTGTACAGTAGAGTATTGGGTCCCCCACTATTATTGTGCTGCTATCTTATTTATTAGGTCTGGTAGTAATCGTTTTATAAATCTGGGAGCTCCAGTGTTAGGTGCATATAAATTCAAGATTATAATATCTTCCTGTTGGATTGATTCCTTTGTCATTATATAATGACCTTGTCTTTTTTTTTTTTCCCCCTACTATTTTTGCCTTAAACGCTATTTTGTCTGATGTAAGAATAGCAACTCATGCTCACTTTTGGTTTCCATTTTTGCATGGAATCTTTTTTTTTCACCCTTTTATCTTGAATTCATACAAATCCTGATGTGTTAGGTGAGTCTCTTGAAGACAGAAGGTATTTGGTTTGTGGTTTATTATCTATTCTGCCATTTTGTATCTGCTAAGTGGAGCACTTAGGTCACTTACGTTCAATGTTAATATTGAGATAGGAGGCACTATTCTATTTATCATTTTAGTTATTATATACTTTGGTTTTTTGTGTTATTGTTTAATAGGCTTTGTAAGTTTTGTGCTTTCAGGAAGTTCTACTGTGGTGCATAATGAGCTGTGTTTCCAGATTTGTAACTCCTTATAGAATTTCTTGTAGTGCTGGTTTGATAGTGGCAAATTCCTTATGCATTTGTCTGAAAATGACTATTTCTCCTTCATTTACGAGATGTAGTTTTGCTAGATACAAAATTCCTAGCTGACAATTATTTTGTTTAAGTGGGTTAAAGATAGGACCTCAATCCCTTCTAGCTTGTAAGGTTTCTGCTGAGAAGCCTCCTGTTAAGTCTGATAGATTTTTCTTTATAAGTTACTTGATGCTTTTGTCTCACGGCTTTTAGAATTATTTCCTTCATGTTGACTTTAGATAGCTTCATGACCTTGCACCTTGGTGGTGATATTTTTGCAATGAATTTCCAAGGATTTCTTTGGATCTCTAGCCAGGCCAGGAAAGTTTTCCTTAATTATTCCAAATAACTCAATCAAATTTACAAGAAAAAAACAAACAACCCCATCAAAAAGTGGGCAAAGGATATGAACAGACACTTCTCAAAAGACATTCATACAGCCAACAGACACATGAAAAAATGCTCATCATCACTCGCCATCAGAGAAATGCAAATCAGAACCAAAATGAGATACCATCTCACACCAATTAAATGGCAATCATTAAAAAATCAGGAAACAACAGGTGCTGGAGAGGATGTGGAGAAATAGGAACACTTTTACACTGTTGGTGGGACTGTAAACTAGTTCAACCATTGTGGAAAACAGGGGCGATTCCTCCAGGATCTAGAACTAGAAATACCATTTGACCCAGCCATCCCATTACTGGGGATATACCCAAAGGATTATAAATCATGCTGCTATAAAGACACATGCACACATATGTTTATCGCGGCACTATTCACAATAGCAAAGACTTGGAATTAACCCAACTGTCCATCAGTGACAGACTGGATTAAGAAAATGTGGCATATATACACCATGGAATACTATGCAGCCATAAAAAAGGATGAGTTCGTGTCCTTTAGTAGGGATATGGATGCAGCTGGAAACTATCATTCTCAGCAAACTATTGCAAGAACAGAAAACCAAACACCGCATGTTCTCACTCATAGGTGGGAATTGAACAGCTCACCTGCCAGGCTGACAGGAAAGCTATCCACCTCCCAGCCTCTTTTGTCCCAGTGTTCTGGATATTGAGATCAGAGAGGCACCAATTTTCGTCTGTAGGAACGCAAATGTTCCAAGTAGGGAGAAATCATGACTGCCGCTCATGGAAGCCTGCACCTGGGAAGTGCTCCTCCTGTGGGGATGCAGGCATGCTGAAATGTTACAGGAAGGCTGGCTATAGGTATACCAATGCTGAGCTCCTCTGAGAGAAGCCCTAGCTTTGTCTGCAGTGATGCACAAGAGGGGAAAGACCACCCCTTCTCTAAGACCTTTCATGAGCACCAAGGCTGCCTGACTGTTGTGAGTAGAGGTTTAGACTTTCCCTACTGAACCCAGCACTGCAATTGTGTGTCTGCTGAAACTTTCCACCTATGGAAAGATGTGAGACTCAAGGCCTGCTCTCTGGATTATTTTGTCCCATGGAATGTTCCCTTGATGTGATGCTATCCCCTTACCATGAGATTAGGAATTCCTGAGAGCCAGACTACAGTGATTGTTATTGCTCTTCTGGGTCTAGCCACCCAGCAGTGAGGTTGCCTCACTCTGGACTAGTGCTGGGGAATATCTGCAAGGGATTCGGTGATGTGGCCTGTCTTCAAGTCTCCCAGCAGTGGGTACCAGCTCCAGCTGTCATGGGGAAGGCAGGGAAGTGACATAGACTCTGAGATGTCTTGATTATAGATAGCTCTGATGTGCTGGTTTTCTCAAATGTTGGTTATAATAGTAGCAAACTTGTCCCATGGCCACACTCAGGACGTCTGGCTGGCCAGGTAGTTGCAGGCAATGGTGGTAGCTGAGATCATGCACAAGTTTTCTCCTAGCTGGGTGCAGTGTTAGTCTACCTAGATATTCTGTGATGAACTGTGTTGGTTGGCCTCCAACCAAGAGATGGCACTTGCAAAAGAGCACCAGCTGTGGTGGTAGCAGTGAGATTTGAACTTCCCTTATGTTGCCCTGGGGAGGTATTCTGGTTTCTCAGGTGACGGGCAGGGCCATACATTTTCTAAAAATTTATTGTGTGTTACGCTACCAGGATGGGTGGAGGGTCACAACCAAGTTTGGTCCGGGTTAGGCAAGTATGCACTCTGACTTTCTGGAGACTAGCTACAGCTGCTGTGAGCATCAGGGGATGGTGCTCAGACTACTGGGGTCATGTTCCAAAGGGGAGCATCACTGCCTTTGCTGCACAAAAGTGTTCACACATGGAGTGGGGAGTAGCTAGTGGCGGTAAGCCTCACCAAGATCTCATGCAGTTAGAAGCAGATCCCAGTTCCACAGTGCTCTAAGAGCGCTGAACTACGTTCCAAGCAGCCTGTGCTCAGAACTCAGACTTGCCATGGGCCATAAGCTTTTCCTGTGGAGATAGCAACTTTGGCTTTCGAGCTATGTCCTGCCCATCCACCTGCAAGGCCAGGTGCCAGGCTTCTGCATTTGTCTGCAGCACACCTCCTGCTTTCCTCCAGAGTTCTGGCCAAAGGAGCTCCTCCCTACTCGAGATAATATTAATATCATGAAATTCAGCTGGGAGCCTCTTTCGATCTGTGGCATGTGCCTGAACTCCCCAAGTTCAGATTGGCTGACTTCCCTGATGTCCCCTGTGAGATAAAATAAGAAATGGCTTCCTTCGGTCCATGCTGCAGATTGGTAATACCCTTGTGGCACTGCTGCTTCTACTTTATTTCTCACCTCTCCCTAAATCAGCTCTGAGCCTGGGTAGGGTTAAGGCCTTACACCCATGGCCTGAATTTTCAGAGTCCCTGGTGGGGAAGGGTATTCCGGAGGCAGTTTCTCCCCTTCTCACACTCTGGGCACTTAGTTTTTCATCTGTCTCACAGTGTAGGCTGCAGCCTGCCACTTCTTTCAAAGGGTCTGTGGATTCTTTCAGTTTTCCTATTCAGTTAGTGCATTGCTTCCTGGAAAAAAGTTTGCATTGTGAATCTCTACACGCTATTCTGTCTTTCCAAGTGGGAGAGTCATGCTAACACTGCCTCCGATCCACAATCTTGGGAACAAAAAACTCAAATCAGGATGGTTTAACCTAGACTAGAGATTCATAGAGACCTATAATCATATTTTAGTTTTTCTTATGTCTGGGATGACTTTCTTCAGTATTTATTATTCTGAATCTCAATTGTCCTTTTCATTGAGGAGTGTGGGAGGCAGGGAGATGCAACATAAGAGAGCCCTATGAGTGTGAAACAACAGATAATAAAAGTATCTTGAATGATGCTCAAGACTTGTCAGCATGTAACAACTTTTTGCTCTTCAGTTTCTAAACAGGAATACTTATTCTTACCCATCGGGTTCAATGGATGAGAAAATTAGACTATTCAAATGCTTTATAATTTCTCTCAAACACAGTTCAGATAATCAGAATTATTACTTGATACCAATTTTTACCTATTGAAAATTTTAATTCCATTGTTCAGTAGTTGTACTAACTATATATGCAATATAGAACAGCCTTCATATGGGTAGGTCATATCAAAATAAACAAAGGGAATATTTTTTGCCAGGGGTCATCAGTTTGGAACAGTGAAAAATGTCTAAATATTAGGTGAAGCAAACTAATAAAATTGGCTCATGTTTTTATTCAACATCAATCCTTTATTTTACCACGCAGCTTTGGTGCACTTTCTTTCGACCACAGTTGGTCCAACCAGCCTTGGAAAGCTCACTGAAAAAACTTCAACTGGACTATGTGGACCTCTATCTTATTCATTTCCCAATGGCTCTCAAGGTAAGGAATCTTGAGATCAAACTTCTTTCTCTTCTGTTGTCAGCATGACCATCCTTTATGATGATGGTTGAATTAAGCTTCTAAGGAGGATGTAGGCATTATTACATGGGAGAAGAGTCCCAAATATAATGTCTAACCTGCTTTATTGAATAAATAGTGAAACCTTCCTTATCTAATATATGATGACAACAGAAGACAGTACATCAACCTCAAAAGCCTCTGCTTCAAAAACTCAAGAAAATAATGATAGCCACCTTTAAGACCCTGTCTTAATTGGGGTTCCTGAGTCCATCTCTTAGGATATTCACAGATGCAGAGATTCATGCAGCTGTGGTGCCAAAAAAAAAAAAAAAATCACTGCACATGTGGTACAGTGAGTTTCCATTATCTCTCCCCATTTTAAGCTGAAGTAGATTTGGTGGAACTCACTCTGGGTGAGTCTTAAAAAGGAAACCATAATGGGACCTGAGAATCCTTGCCTTTTTCACTAAAGCTAGTTTCACAATGGAGTTTGTAGCTTTGCTTAGTCATGAATTTCGGTTGTGCATAACTTTTAAATTTATAGGGAAAAACTCAGGCTAGTTTATTTAAAAAAGAGTTTATTGCATGATGCAAATGGGTAGTCACTGCCATGAATAAAGATTTGACCTAGACTCTAAAAATGTGACCTTTTGTCCATAATTATCTATGAACTCCAAGAGGTTTTCTGGATTTTTGTCCCAGCCTTTTTCATTGTTGGCAATGATAGCTTTGAGGCAGCTCAAGGCTCATGGTGATTAACATAAGAGAGCCTACATGGGTCTTACAACTTTCAAATACATATTGAAAAGAACTTCCATTTGACCATGTTTGGTTTATAATCCTGCTCCTGTACTATCAAATCTTCAGGGGGATAAGGAACTCTTATTGTATCACCTGGATCAAGAATACAATCCCTTATTGCTGGATATCAAGGACTTTTTGAGTCAAAGAGTGGCATTTCCCCAGAGAAAATTATAGGAGCAGATAAAAGTAACAAAAGTCAACTGTGAAACCCCATTAAAACCTGTAAAATGTTTATATATATAAAAATATATAAATATATATCTTATATATATAATATATATATAATGGAAGTAGATTAAAGGAAACTTGTCTCCTAAAGACATGCCTTATAACTCCGTACGTGAGACACTTTGCCCACACCACTTTCTAGAACATTGCAGCACCTGGTGGATTATCCTAAAATGTACATGGGAACAAGCCTATGGGTGGAGAAATTAAATTGTGACATTAAAATAACTGCTTCTACTTCAGCCAGATGAGACGCCACTACCAAAAGATGAAAATGGAAAAGTAATGTTCGACACAGTGGATCTCTGTGCCATATGGGAGGTAAGTGCTAGGAGGACAGAGCACAGAAAAGGAAGGTAAACCTGTTTCCCAGCTTTCATGTGCAACCAATGGAATATGCACCACTGGAACTAGAAATTAAGGAGCTTGACAAAGGAAGTTTTGCTGAGTGGTAGGGAAGAACACACGACTGAAATAGAATAGTGGGAAATGAAGGAGATAAATTGGGGACAAGGAAGACAGGTATTCCTCCCCCTCCATGTGCATTTTTGTCTCCAGCTTCCTAAAGAGGATACCCAAATTCTTCTTGCTGTCACTATCCTTTTTTGTTATCTGTTGTCATTCTCTTGAGAATCACTGCTATTTTCATTGTCATATCTTAACAGTTGTTGCTTTAACAGTTCTGTCTTGCATTTATCATAATCTGCAGCCAACTGCACAAATAATTCCTCACAACCCCTTCCCAGGCCATGGAGAAGTGTAAGGATGCAGGATTAGCCAAGTCCATTGGGGTGTCAAACTTCAACCGCAGGCAGCTGGAGATGATCCTCAACAAGCCAGGACTCAAGTACAAGCCCGTCTGCAACCAGGTGAGGGCCCTCAGCCTCCTCTCCTTTCTCTTCTCAATACCCATCTTCCTGTCCTACTGCCTGGCTTCCATTTGTTTTGTTCCACTTACATTTGTGAAATAGAAGATTCTAGAAAGCAAAGCCTCTGTCTAGAAGAACATGGAAGACCCTTAATCGTACCTCTCCTTGGAGAAGTCTTAGTGAAAAAGGTACAGAGACCTTCATGCTGAATTCTGTATACTATTTTTAGAGGAGGTAAATTTCATCAATGAGGACTGAAATGGATAATCAGAACTCAGGGAGAAGGTGGACTTATCTCTAAGGTTTGAAAAGACCACCAGAGAGTGGATTGGTAAAGATGATTTGGAGGATAATGTGTATAATTAGAAAGGCCATAAAAACATGGGATGAGCAATAAATCAGGAGAGAGTGAGAATAAGAGAAGATAGGTACTACGGGGTTAAATAAGGTTTAGATTTCTGAATGCTTTTTATTGGCATCTCTGTTTCCATAGTTCTTGAGCAGGTACTAAGAACTAACTGGAAACAGTGAAAGTCATCCAGGTTAGGGAGAGGAAGTTACCTGTTTATGAGAGCTGCTTGAGAGAGAAGCTGAAAGGATGTGGCGTGCTACCCCCACACTTGCCTCGTGTAGAAAAGCCTGCTAATGTTGCCTCATTTAGACCCAGACCCAAAACGGGAGTCTTATAGCTGGACTACCTAGGAAGAAAAGTTCTAAAGCACAAAAAAGAAAGCATTTCATTTGGGAACACTTATTTGCAGCTGGAAATAGGGGAATGGACTAACTGACTAAACTACCATCCTGTCCATCCTGCCCTTCGTTTCAGTCCTTCCACATTGTTATTTCGTGTTTGGACTGTGCTGGAAGAACTGTTTTATACAGGCTGCTATTCAATAAATTTGTAAATACCATACCCACCAAAGGATTTAACACTGAAAAGTTAAGGTAACCTTGGAAAATTCTAAAACAGTCACTTTTCACTCCTGAGATGTAGGTGGTCAGGAGAAATGAGGAACACTGTAGAAGCCATATGCAAGATGTACAGATGGCATTGTGTTTGCTATGGACTCTGTTGATGTTGAAAGAATGGAAGAAGTCAAAAGTGAACTTTATAAAATAGGGTATAAGAAAACACCTGTACTTACAGGTGCTAAGAAACTAGACTTGAAGAACTAGTCTCTTTCAGAAATTGAGAAATTGTTAACAATGGTTGAACTGAGCTCATCAACTCCTTGGCATTTGCAGCCTACCTGTGCAATCATAGGACATGAAATAAAGGATTTGAGAAACTCCATGATGTGATAATGAAAAGAAAAATATTGCAGTAATATAAAAAGATGAATATGATGCCTTTTCTATATATGTGGAATAGATTTTCTCTGGTCTGATTTTAACAAATACAAGACTGTCTACAGCCTGGTTTTCCTGTATGCCCCTCCTGTGTGCTATCAAAGCTTCGTTTCATTGAACAATCAGATGCCCAACTCCGTGGCTTTGTGGAAGATGAGTAAATGCAGTGATGCTTCAAGTGGTCTCTTCTCCCTAGCCCACAAATATTTCAGTACTATCATTTTGGGAAGTCAAGCAAGTATACTTAATTAACCAGAACGTAATTGCGGAAATTTGACGCAAAGTTGGTGAAATAAAACTTTAAAGAGTGAAAAAAAGAGAGTTAACTATTTATGGAGATCACTAGTTGTGGTGGATGAAATCAACACTGAGGAATATTTAGCAGAACATTGAGCCGATCTTGTGACTGCCCACATCTTATTTTGATGCACCTCTTTGCTTTCTGTCATCCAATCAACTGTTGAGAAGCATCTATTCTGCATATAGTTCTGTTCTCTAACTTACTCTTTTACTACTTAGAGTCAATGAGTACAGATCTACAGCTGAAACATATAGTATTTAAAATTTATGTATTTGGTAATATAATACAAAATCTTGATTTCCAATTAAAAAGTTAAGGAATTAATATGGTTTTAATATTAGTTTTACTCAATTTTTTTATTATGACATTTTCAAATTTTAGAGAAATTTGAAGGGATAATACAGGACAGCTACATGTTACCATCTATATCCAAAATTGTTGACACTTTGCCAACTGGCAAATATATAGGTATATATGAGTAGATCTGCATCAATACATGTAGTATTTGTTGAATCTCTTCAAAATATATTGTAATGATCGCAATTCACCTCTACAGACCTTTCAAAGCATGGCATAGGAATGAAGATATTCTCCCAGTAACAGTGCAATTATTATATATAAGGAAACAACAATAATGCCCTCATATCATTGATTATCCAGTCAGTATTCAGATTTCCCATTGTTTTGTTGAAATGTCTCATACCTCTATTTTAACCATAAATAGAAGATGAAAAAATTTAAAGATACCATAAGATTAAGTACCTGAAATTATACCAAATAAAAGATGTGTATGACCTCTACAGAATGATAAAATAATGAGAAATGTTAAAGAGTAAATATAAAAGATATATCATGAAAACAAAAAAAAATCCAGTTGTGACTTTCAGTTTGTTGTACTTTGATCAGTTAACTTGTTCCAAGTTTTTGAAAGGTAAGTTTCTGTAGATTCGCAGTTATGCTTGGATGCTTTATATCATAGAAGTTAAACATTTTTGGTGAGAAACTGCCTCTACCTTGCTGTATCCCTGAAATTATACCACAGTAGGCAGCATGAAATGACAGATTGTCCCACAATTAGTGATGCTAATTTTGATCACTTGGTTAAACAAGTGGTAACCAGATCTAATTTCCAGAGACACGTGTTCTCCCCTTTGCAATTACTAGTAATCTGCTGGGTGAAAATAATCAAAAGGGAAAGTGATATTCCACAGCAAATTTTCACATAATGATTGAGTATACATCAATGATGTTTTAAATTTTTGTATTGCATTCTTATTGTATTTGTTCTTTCCTGGGGGCTTTAAAGTAGTTACTTTCAATTTTAACGACAAGTTTACTATTCTCACTTTACATTTTATTACGAAAAAATTTTTTTCACTAAGTCAAGAAAAGAAACAATTACTCTTCTTGGATATACTAAAAAGCTTAACTCTTTCCCTTTAATTATTCATGTCCTGGAAAAAAATTACTGTAATGATCACTGTATTAGTCCGTTTTCATGCTACTGATAAAGATATATCCAAGACTGGGAAGAAAAAGAGGTTTAATGGACTTAAAGTTCCATATGGCTGGGGAAGTCTCACAATCATGGCAGAAGGCAAGGAGGAACAAGTCACATCTTACACAGATGGCAGCAGGCAAAGAACTTGTGCAGGAAATCTCCTCCTTATAAAACCATCAGATCTCATGAGACTTATTCACTATCTCAAGAACATCACGGGAAAGACCTGCCCCCATGATTTAATTATCTCCCACCAGGTGTCTCCCACAACACATGGGAATTATGGGAGCTACAAGATGAGATTTGGGTGGGGACACATAGCCAAACCGTATCATGCCACCCCTCCCACCAGGCCCTCCTGTTAACACATGGGAATTATGGGAGCTACAAGATGAGATTTGGGTGGGGACACATAGCCAAACCGTATCATGCCAAATTCTGAAGCCCCTCCCAAATCTCATGTCCTCACAATTCAAAACCAATCATGCATTCCCAATAGTTTTCCAAAGTCTTAACTCATTTCAGCATTAGATCAAAAGTCCACAGTCCAAAGTCTCATCTGAGACAAGCAAGTCCCTTCCACCTATGAGCCTGTAAACTCAAAAGCAAGTTAGTTACTTCCAAGATACAATGGGGGTACAGGCATTGGGTAAATACAGCTGTTCCATGTGGGAGAAATTGGCCAAAATAAAAGAGCTACAGGACCCATGCTAGTCTGAAATCCAGCAGGGCAGTCAAATTTTAAAGCTTCAAAATGATCTCCTTTGACTCCATGTTTCACATCCCAGGAGTCAATGGAACTCCATTTACATCCATGCTGATGTAAGAGGTGGTTCCTATGCTCTTGGGCAGCTCCACTCCCTGCGGCTTTGCAGGGTACAGCCTCCTCTGGCTGCTTTCATGGGCTGGCACTGAGTGTCTGCAGCTTTTCCAGGTGCACAGTGCAAGCTGTCAGTGGATCTACCATTCCAGGGTCTGGAGGATGGTGGCCCTTTTCTCACAGCTCCATCAGGTGGTAGGCAGCTCCCAGCAGGGGACTCTGTGTGGGGGCTCTGACCCCAGAGCACTCGCCACCCTAGCAGAAGTTCACCATGAGAGCATGGGCCTAGTGGTAAACTTCTGCCTGGACATCCAGGCGTTTCTATACATCCTCTGAAATCTGAAATCTAGGTGGAGGTTCCCTAAACCTCAATTTTTTTTTGAGACAGAGTGCTGCTGTCACCCAGGCTTCCAGCTGGAGTGTGCAGTGGCACGACCAGCTCACTGCAACCTCCGCCTCCCAGGCTCAAGTGATTCTTCTGCCTCAGCCTCCTGAGTAGCTGGGATTACAGGTACATACCACCACGCCTGGCTAATTTTTGCATCTTTAGTAGAGATGGGGTTTCACCATCTTGGTCAGGCTGGTCTCAAACTCCTGACCTTGTGATCTGCCTGCCTCAGCCTCCCAGAGCGCTGATTAAAGGCATGAGCCACCACGCCTGGCCCCCTTGCCCTCAATTCTTAACTACTGTGCACCCGTAGGCTCAATACCACATAGAAGCTGCCAGAGGCTTAGGACTTGCACCCTGTAGCCAACAGCCTGAGCTGTACTTTGGCTCCTTTTAGTCACAGCAGGAGTGATTGGGATGCAGGGCAGCAAGTCCCTAGACTGCACACAGAATGGAGACCCTGGGCCCAGCCCATGAAACCATTTTTTCCTCCTAGGCCTCCACCTCTGGGCCTGCGATGAGAAGGGCTGCCACAAAAGTGTCTGGCATGCCTTGGAGACATTTTCTCCATTGTCTTGGTGATTAACATCCTTGTTACTTATGCAAATTTCTGCAGCTGGCTTGAATTTCTTCTCAGAAAATGGGTTTTTAATTTTTACTACATCACCAGACTGCAAATTTTCTGAAATTTTATGTTGTTTCCTTTAAACGATGCTTTTAACAGCACCCAAGTCATTTCTTGAATGCTTTGCTTAGAAATTTCTTTGACCAGATACCCTAAATCATCTCTCTCTCAACCAAAGTTCCACAAGTCTCTAGGGCAGGGACAAAATGCCACCACTCTGCTACAACATAACAAGAGTCACCTTTGTCTAGTTCCCAACAAGTTCTCATATCTTCATCTGAGACCACCTCAGCCTGGACCTTATTGTTCATATTACTATCAGCATTTTTGTCAAAGATACTCAGCAAGTCTCTAGAAAGTTCCAAATCTTCTTACACTTTTCTGTCTTCTCCTGAGCACTCCAAACTGTTACAACCTCTGCATGTTACCCAGTTCCAAAGTCACTTCCACATTTTCAGGTATTTTCAGCAACGCCCCACTCTACTGGTACGGCTACTCATATTGGTCCGTTTTCATGCTGCTGATAAAGACATACTCAAGAGTGGGGAGAAAAGAGGGGTTTAATGGACTTCTTACAGCTTCACATGGCTGGGGACACTCACAATTATGGCAGGCGCAAAGAGGAACAAGTCATATCTTACATGGAGGGCAGCAGGCAAAGACAGCTTTGTGCAGGGAAACCCATTTTTAAAATCATCAGATCTTATTCTCATCATGAGAACAACACAGGAAAGACCCACTCCCATGATCCAGTTTTCATATCACCCCAGGCCCTTCCACAACATGTGGGAATTATGAGAACTACAAAATGAGATTTGGGTGGGGACACAGAGCCAAAACATATCAATCACCATTGGTGAAGGCAAATACTTTTGATCACTCTTTTAACCACTCAACACTATGAAGACATGGATTGTTTTCTTATAATCTGTCATTTTTATTCATTATTGGTTTTTGATGCTCAAATCTACACAAATATTACTGAGATTCCTATAAAAATTACTTTTTTCTTTTAAACCTGACCTCGTGTCTTTAAAGAAATTCCCACATTCTGGCACAATTTGGATGTTCAAAGTTCAGAATCTCAACCTATCTCAAGTCTGGAATTGTCATGTGCAATTCTAGTGGTCAAAGGTTGTTAGAAACTGACTCTGGTTCATAGAGTTGCTTATGCTCTCGTGAAATAACATTTCTGTGTATACTTTTAGGACAGCAATATAAAATGTATTTCATTAAAAAGACTGTTACTTGACAGTAATAGTCTCAGTTCAAATTTAATGTTATACTTTTATTCAGTTTATTTTAATTCCTTATATTAACATATGTTTTGAATTATCTGATGCTTTCTATCTTGCTCATCTGCAGGAATGTCATCCTTGACTCAACCAGAGAAAAACTGCTGATTTCTGCAAGTCCAAAGACATTGTCCTGGTTGCCCATAGTGCTCTGGGAACCCAACGACATAAACTATGGTAAAAAAAAAAAAAAAAAAAAAAAAGCAACAGGAAGTTTACCTAAAATGCCATTTTGATGAAAAAGTTTAATTATAGCCTACTCAGTCTTCTGGAGTTCACTCTCAGTGAATCAGTGCACGGGGAGAATTTGCATTTCTGATGAGATCCTTAGGTGATGCTAGGAGGCTCTGGGTGCAGAACGAACACCTTAGTCTGTTTAGGAGCTTCCTACCAAACTGAATCCAGCCTCAAGACTTCAGCATTTCTGGCTTCTTCCAGGGTGGACCAGAACTCCCAGTTCTTTGAGGACCTAGTTCTTTGCGCCTTAGCAAAGAAAAACACAAACGATCCTCAGGCCCTGATTGCCCTGCGCTACCAGCTGCAGCGTGGGGTTGTGGTTCTGGCCAAGAGCTACAATGAGCAGCGGATCAGAGAAAATGTCCAGGTGGAGGAGCTGAGTGGGCGTCAGAGCTCCTGCATGGTGGCCTCTCACATGTGTGCTTCTTGTAAACTTCTAGACACCCACCTCAAGTCCCTCCTGGCATTTCCTATGCACAAATGCTTGTATGCATCATATGGCTTTATCTCTACTCTAGGAGGGGCAGCATGGGTGGAGAGAATCAGGATGGGACCATAACCAGAAATTTGGCATAAAGTTGGCAACTTACTCTGCATCCTCTTGCTAGGGACATCACCTTTCTTGATTTTCTGAAATGAGTTGCTAGGTTTCTCTAGTCTTCAAATCATTGCAGATTTTTTCTTTATATCCTTGTTTATTCCATATGAATTTCATGTATTTATTCTCTTAGAATTATTTTTTGAGTGCCTGTTGAAGTCTTTGGGTATTTTTATTAGGTTGCATGTCTTTTCTATGTGTAGAAAACATAATACAAGGTTTAAAATTATAAAAAGAAAATCTCAAACATAGAGGTTTAATAGCAAACCATTTATTTAACTGATAATTTCATAGTTTGTAATTTATCAAGCTCCAGAATTTCAAGTATTCTGGATATTCTTTAGAGCTTCAGATGTATTGTTGAAATAGCCTCTCCCAAAAATAAAAATTCTACGTTTTGATTCTCTTTATGGTGGTTTTAGCAAAAGTTTCTACTCTTAACGAGTCAAATTTTTATGATATTGTCTTATAGTTGCTAATATCATGATTTTTCCTATATTGGAACCATGACAATATGTTAGTATATTATGTAGTAAAATATTATATAGTAATACAAAGTAATATACTATATTCTATTAATATCTTATAAAAGCATTAATGTACTTTTTATAAATTGGGATAATTTTTAATATGTGAAATAAGGTGAAAAATGTACATATAATTTTCACTTAATACTAAAATGTCCCTAATTAAGAATTATTGAAAAGTCCATATTTGCTCACCTATCTTGATTTTTCATCCTGTCATAAAGTGTCCATAAGTACTTCTGATCTTTCCTGTACAGTCTAAATTATGTTACATAGCATTCTTAAGGTGTTTGTGTATGTTTTTCCTAGATTTCTATTCATAGAAACTTTCTTCCCTCTATAATTTTAATAGTCTTTGGATAACTTGGAGAATTTTCTAATCTATGCAAATACAGCTCCTAAGAATACAATGAATGCTTCTTACCTAGATTCATCAATTGTTAAGTTGATGACTTTTATTCTCTTTTCCTCTTATTCTCTGTGTTAGAGTATTCCAATAAAATTTAGTAATTTAGTATTATGCTAGCAATTAGTGACATCTTTTGATATTCAAATTCTTTCCAATTTGAATACTGAGATCCTCTTCAAGCAACCACTTGTTTTCTTTGAGCATGATGTTATTAGGGATTTGGACAATTACTACCTTGAATCTTGTTGAAAACAATTTTCACATTATACCTGTTCATTGAAGATGGAAATCAGATGAATATATTTGGATTTCAGGATTTCTATATCTGATGTGAAACTGTACAACTCTACAAAGATGATCTCAACAAATACTAGAGATGAAATTAAGTTAACCTTTGTGTGTACATGACTGGTTCATGTACTATAAAGATTAAGAATCTAGAGAACAATTTTTGAAACTGTGATTTAGATAGTTTGATGATGATACAGTTTGATATTTGTCTCCTTTCTAATCTCATTTTAAAATGCAAAAAGATAGTTCATACCTTTGTAGGACATGAATGCAGCTGGAAACCATCATTCTCAGCAAACTATCACAAGAACAGGAAACCAAAAACACCGCATGTTCTCACTCACAGGGTAAGTGAATTGTACAAATGAGATCACTTAACACAGAAAGGGGAACATCACACACTGGGGCCTATTGTGGGTGGTGGGGGAAGAGGGAGATAAGCATTAGACATATACCTAATGTGAATGACGAGTTAATGGGTACAGCACACCAACAAGGCATATGTATACATATGTAACAAACTGCACGTTGTGCACATGTACCCTAGAACTTAAAAAAAAAAATGTTATCCCCAGTGATGGAAGTGGAGTCTGTGGGAGGTGGGTTTTTGTCATGGGGACAAATATAGAAATATAGAAATCCAACAATATCCATCTGTATTAGTCCGTTTTATGCTGCTATAAAAAAAATACTTGATGCTGGGCAATTTATACAGAAAAGAGCTATATTTGGTCAATTTATGTAAAGCTGTACAAAAAGCATAGCACCAGCATCTCATTCTGGAGAGGTCGCAGGAAGCTTTTAAATTCTACATTAAATAGCTCCTTTGCTCCCATACCTGATCATAGGCTGTTACAAGCAGTCACACTCATTCAAGCTGAATGTCTTCCGTTTAGAAATTTCTTCCACCAGATACCCTTAAATCATCACTTCAAGTTCAGACTTCCACAGTCCTGAATGGACACAATGCAGCCAAGTTCTTTCCTAAGGTATAACAAGGGTGATCTTTGTTCCAGTTTTTAATAAGTTTCTGATTTTGGTCTTAGACCTCACTAGCCTAGACTTCATTGCCCATATTTTTACTACAAAGCATTTTGGTCAGAATCATTTAACCAATGCCTAACAAGTTCCAAACTATCCCTTATCTTCCCATTTTCTTCTGAACCCTCCCGACACTTCCAAACTGTGCTAGTTACCCAGTTCTAAAGCCACTACCACATTTTCAGACATTTTTAGCAATGTCCCACTCCTGGTAACAATTTTCCATGTTAGTCCATTGTGCACTGCTATGAAGAAATACCTGAGGCCAGACAAAATATGCCGGAAAGTGATTTGGCTTACCATTTCGCAGAGTGTACAAAAATCATGGCACCATTTTGGTTTTGGTGAGGCCTCAGGAAGCATTTACTCATGGTAGAAGGTGACAGAGGAGGAAGCATGTCAAATAGCAAGAGATGAAGAGGAAAAAAAGAAAATGTCAGTCTCCTTTTTAAACCACATTTCATGTGACCTAATGCAGTGAACACCTATTACCATGGGGAGGGCACCCAGCCATTCATGAAGGATGCCCCCATGGCACAAACACTCCCACCAGGACCCACTTCCATCATTGCTGAATCACGCTTTAACATGAGATTAGGAGGAGACAAATATCCAAATTGTATCACCACCAAACTGTCTAAATTATAAGTTTCAAAATTTTTCCTCTAGATTCTTCTAAATCTTCTAAGTACAGGAGCCAATCGTGAGCACACCAGGTCAACTTCATTCCATCTCCAGTTTCTGTTGAGATCTTCTTTGTCTGCAGTTTTGTGCAGTTTCAATATATAATATCTAGGAATGGATTTATATTTTACCTGATATTCTTTAATCACTTGAGAGTTTAGAGATGATCTTTCATAACTTTTGGAAACTTATCAGATATTTTACATATTGCCTCTACACCCTGCTCTGATATGCTTGGCTATTCCAAGTTGACAATTATGCAATCTAACAACAAAAATTTTCTACTTTGGTAGGTTTTTGACCCAGTTGACTTCGAGGATATGAAAGTTATAGATGACCTAAACAGAAATTTTCGATATGTTGTCATGGATTTGTAAGTAACTTTGGAAAAATGGGTTGCCAAAATGGCTTTTAGAGGAGGAATGTCAGATGCGGAGTGTTAAAAGTGACCTCAATACCAGGGAGACAGAGGCCAATGTGAGTCAGAGGTGAGACAGGAACTCTGGAACTCTCCTTCTGGATTCACTCCAGAGCTCTGTTCTCTGACAGGGTGAGCGGCCCAGGGTCAGCATGGTCAACCTGTGCCTGCTCTCTCTTGACTCCCTGAAAATTTCCAGAGCAGCCAATATTATTGCTGAATCGGCACCTTCATGTTGGCCTGGCATTTCTAAGAGTGGCCTAGTGGACAAATTGCATATTGCCCACATGGCTTGATTACATGTTTTTCCAAATCTGTACTTATAGCTTTTTCTTCCAAATCTGCTCAGTTCCTTATCAGATAAACATTTCCAACAACATTGGTGTCCATGCCAGAAATTCATCTCTTCTTATGTGGAATTGCTCACTAGATCAAGTGTCAATTCAGTATCTTTACTCATTTCAAATTTCTTTCTTCCTTCTCTTTAGACATTTGTTCATGACCCAAACACTGCATTTTGCCTCCAGAAAGCTTCTGTCTAGTGGGTGTTAGGAACTCTTGGCTTTGATTTTTTTTTGCAATATGGAAATCTAAATGCAGACTATAAAGAAGTTTTAGAGAAGAGAGATTAAAAGTCAAGGGAAGAGCCAGGCTCAGTGGCTCATGCCTGTAATCCCAACACTCTGGGAGGCAAAGGCAGGTGGATCACTTGAGGTCAGAAGTTTCAGACCAGCCTGGCCAAAATGGAGAAACCCTGTCTCTACGAAAAATACAAAAATTAGCCATACGTGGTGGCATACACCTGTAAATCCAGCTACTCAGGAGGCTGAGGCAGGAGAATCCCTTGAACCTGGGAGGCAGAGGTTGCAGTGAGCCGAAATTGTGCCACTGAACTCCAGCTTGGGCAACAGAGCAAGATTCTATCATTAAAAAAAAAAAAAAAAAAATCAAGGGAAGAGTTGAAAGTCCTATCTTTGGGGATAATATAGCTGACAAAGATCTTACTTCTTCTATATGCTCCAAGGTTCTAGGATTCACAGAAAAAGGCACTCATGTGATGAGGGAAAAACAAGCCATGTCACTGCTTGCAGTGGAGATGTTAACAGGCATTAGACATGAGATAATGTATTAAAAAGGATAAACACAGCAGCATGTCATAAGAACTCAAACGTTTTTAAATATCAAGCCTTCCATTTTTATTAGGTTAGAGGAAAATAGTAAAATAGGAAATCATGAAGAGTGGCAAACATCAGTAATTCTCACCAATTATTCAATATTAATCATTTATTCATTCTATTTTGTGTTATTTCCACTCGAAGATTGCCCTTAGCATATTGTAGAGTTTTGGATATGGAACCCCATATCACATAGGACAGTTTACATGTCTGAATCAAAGAAAATATTTTCCATATGGTAAGCAGCTAGTCAGTAATGAATACTTTAAAGGATGTGTGATTGCTACCAAGAATATTTTTAACCTCAAAACTTAGTGATGAAACATGGGCTGGCTTATTTTCATTGAAAACAATGCAGGATGAGTTGCTGCTTTCATTGAGAGTTTGAAATAGAAAAGGTGAGAATATCTCTTTGCTCTGTTGATGAGCAAAGACATATGGAAGACTATGTTTGAACAACTGACCCTGTGTAGTTTCTGTGATAAATTCCAGGCAAGGGAATATAAGTTGGAAAATGCTCTTATTTTGGGAGAAAAAACCCCCACACACATTATAAAGTCATGTTCACAGTACAGATTCTACAAATTGAAAATAAACTTAACATTCACACCAATAGCAGTCCTAGAAATCATCACTTTGCTACCAGCTTTTTAATAGAGTCATTTCATCCATATTATGTACTATCATTTCTCTTTTCAGTCTTGTGGACCACCCTGATTATCCATTTTCAGATGAATATTAGCATAGAGGGTGTTGTACCTTATTATCTAGCAGAAGGCCCTGCATGTGGACGGTGGTGCAGAGGATGCCCTATGCTGGTGGACACATCGCCTCTGGTTAAATCCCTCCTGCTTGGCAACTTCAGTTAGCTAGATACATCCATAGTCCAGGGAGAGCAAAGAAAAATAAATTCTTTTATCTTGAAGTAACTGAATGTTTTCCAAAGGCTCTTTTTTTACCCTTTCTACACACTTGTGTGTTTCTTTTCCTCTCTACTATTTAGCTAAAAATTGATTTGCCTATAAGTTTGGGGCAGAGTGGATATTTTATAGACATTTTTGAGGTGAGAGTGGGTGGGGTTTGCAGCCTCTAGAGGAGGAGCAAGGGGACCAGTATTTATCAGTTAGTCTGTCTTTAGCTCTTTCAGAAAGAAGAAAACACACAGCATACAACCTGAACACAAGCCATATTGACAGGATGACCACCCATGGCCTCCTCCAGCATCACAAAATTGAGCTCCAGCAACCTAGGGATGCAGCATCCCTGTGGGGTAATGGTTAGGGAGGTGGGAGGGCACCCATCCAGGATAAATAATGAGAAGTCAGATATGGGAGAGGTTAGAAGAAGAGAGTTGAGCAGATTCTGCTTGGGAAATACAAACACATGCTCTTTGTCAATTACGCCTTTGTGCATAAAAGGAACTTCCACATTGTTTCAAGGCTGAGAGCCAGGCCTTGACCTCCTGTGTGCCCAGGATCAGCAGTGGCCTTGCTGGGCTGTGGGTGGAGCAGGCAGATACACCAAAGACACCATTGACTGGTCACATTCTCCCTGAATATCAGCTCCATATAGAGCAAATACAGGGGATCTAAAAAATATACTATTAATTTGTTCTACTCAGTCTTTTGAAATATTCCATACATTTAAAAAGGCACACTAATATAAAATATCCAAAAGCCATTACATGTTATTGTCAACAATTTGCAAATTGCAACACATCTAATTATCCAAAATTTCAAAAATCTTTTGAAAACAGTGTATGTAAAATAGCATGATGCTTTCAAACTTTGATGACTTTCAGGAATAATTCTTACAAAGACACCTAATTGTTCCTATACTTTGTAGGGGTACAAATTTAATCAGTTAGTCAAGAACATAACATTTCATTCCAGACAACTTTTTGAAAAGTTGGGACAATGTCATGGGCTACTGGCCAAAGCACTTGGAGACTGACAGATGTTTATGACCTGTGCACATTTCCCATCGCGTTTACTCCTCCACTGACTTAACCCCATTAGAGGGGTTTCCTTAAGCCATGTATTTCAGCTGAGAAATATCCCACAAGTTTCGTAGTTTACAATATTTCCTAAAATGATTTATTTCTTAAAATTGGAAGAGGCCATAAACTTTGGAAGACCTTGGTAATCTCTGGACTGTTTTCTGTCTTCACTCATTTCCTTGATATCAAATATTCTCATGGCTTTAAATACAACCTCTAGGCCAAGAAACCGTAGAATCATCTGTAGCTCAGCTTTTTCTCCAAAACTCCAGAATGAATTATCATATTGACTGCATCTCTACCTTAGTGCTTTCCAATGGACAGTCACACTTAGCATGCCTCAAAGCTCATTTCAACTAAGCGCCTTCCTGTTCCACCTCAATGTTCCTAGACTAAGTAATGATTATTTCACATCTTGTAAAGTTGGATTGACATAATCAAAAATTAAGAGCCATTAGTCAAGTATGTAATGCCAAAGAATTTCAGATTTTCTTAGCATGCGTGACATTTTTTTCCCCAAGATGTGAAGTAATAATTAGAACAGTCATTTATAAATAGTAAATCTGCTACAGGCTTACTCCACTTGTTTATCCTTCATTTTCACAAAAACTTTACGAAAAAGAAAGGCCACGCACTGTGGCTCACACATGTAATCCCAGCACTTTGGGAGGGCGAGGCGGGTGGATCACGAGGTCAGGAGATTGAGACCATCCTGGCTAACACGGTGAAACCCCATCTCTACTAAAAATACAAAAATTAGCTTCTGCAAAAGGCTATGGCACCTATAGTCCCAGCTACTCAGGAGGCTGAGGCAGGAGAATGGCGTGACCTCAGGAGGCGGAGCTTATAGTGAGCTGAGACCGTGCCACTGCACTCCAGCCTGGGCGACAGAGCGAGACTCCATCTCAAAATAAATAAATAAATAAATTAAAAAAAATAAATAAATAAAAGTTACTTAGAATGTTTTAAAGCTTAAATTGGTAACACATGGGATGTAAATAAAAATTCTATAACCTCCAATTCCTCATTTCACTATTTTTTTTCTATAAGAAATACTAAAGTGAGGCTGGGAGCAGTGGTTCACGCCCATAATCCCAGCAATTTGGGAGGGCATGGTGGGCAGATCACTTGAGGTCAGGAGTTTAAAACCACTATTAGCCAACATGGTGAAATCTCATCTCCACTAAAAATGTAAAATTAGCCAGGTGTTCTGGCATGCACCTGTAATCTCAGCTATTCAGGAGGCTGAGGGAAGAGAATCGCTTGAACCCGGGAGGCGGAGGTTGTAGTGAGCCAAGATTGCACCACTGCACTCCAGCCTGGGCAATACAGTGAGACTCCGTCCCCAGAGGAAAGAAGAATGCCAAAGTCAGTACTCACGTTTCAAATAAAAGCAGATTGGGTGCAACTTCAAACCCATGAATATACAAAGACCACAGACCACATACAAGTAATCATCACTAAAGCCAAATATGTATTTTTGAAATCTACATTTGTACTCCACCATTCTTGTGATTTAAAAATATAAATGTGTATGCAAATAACACTAAATATGTACAGTGTATAATTTTACTGACAAAAGTAAGGTGAGGTAAAGAGAAACCCTGTGGAAAAGGAAAGCTTATGAAATATTGGCAGGTTAGTATTGATTCAAAGTAAATTGTTATAACTTTATAAAGTTGTATGTCATCCTCACAGCAACCACAAATAACTATAGAATACCCTTAAGAGGAAATGATATGGGAATCCCAATGTCACTTATAAAAATCATACAAACACACCAAAAAAATAGTAACTGATATGAAAGACAAAGCCACAAAGGAAAACTGAAAATGGCAAAAGTCACATTTTCCTGTCACTAATTCAATCATGCATCACATCAGACCTGGATCCTTCGAAAGAGGCTTTATTAGGCAATTACATCTTTGTTTGTACAAACATGAGGGAGTATAATTACATGAACCTGGATGGTATAGCTTACTATACATTAAAGCTATGATATAGAATATGGGGCCAGACACGGTGGTTCACGCTGTAATCCCAGCACTTTGGGAGGCCAGGCAGGCAGGCCAATGAGGTCAGGAGTTTGAGACCAGCCTGGCCAACATGGTGAAACCCTGTCTCTACTAAAAATACAAGAATTAGCCAGGCATGGTGATACATGCCTATAATCCCAGCTAGTTGGGAGGAGGCTTCGAGGCAGGAGCATTGCTTGGACCAGGAAGGTTGCAGTGAGCCAAGATGACACCACTGCACTCCAGCCTGGCCAACAGAGCAAGACTATGACTCAAAAAAGAAATTTGTAAAATAAAAATATGGGTCCCAGGCTACAGACCTATACAGCAATGTCCTGCACTGAATACCATGGGCAAGTATAGCACAATGGATAGTATTTACATATCCAAATACATTTTGACATGGAAATGCTACAATAAAATAAACTATTAAGTTATAAAACTGCTGTTGTATATGTGGTCTGTCATTGACTAAAATATTGTTATGTGTGCTGAGTAGGGAGGTGGGTCTGAGTGGGGAGGTGGGGCTGAGGTGGGTCCAGATGAGGGAGGTGGGGCTGAGGAGAGGTGGGGCTGAGTGGGGTGGTGGGGTGGGAGGCAGGTCTAGGTGGGAGGGAGGTGGGGCTGGAGGTGGGAGGCGGCTGAGGCGGGCTGAGTGGGGGAGGCAGGGGTCTAGGTGAGGGAGAAGCGAGGGCTGAGTGGGGAGGTGGGGCTGAGGGGCGGACTGGAGTGGGGGAGGCGGGGCTGGAGGCGGGGCTGAGTGGGGGAGGTGGGACTGAGTGGGGAACAGGGGCTGAGTGGGGAGGCGGGGCTGAGGACAGGGGCTAAGTGGGGAGGTGGGGCTGAGGCGGGGCTGAGGTGGGGCTGAGTGGGGAGGTGGGGCTGAGTGGGGTGGTGGGGTGAGGCAGGTCTAGGTGAGGGAGGTGGGGCTGAGTGGGGAGGCGGGGCTGAGGTGGGGCTGAGGGGGGAGTCGGGGCTGAGGCGGGGCTGAGTGGGGAGGCAGGGCTGAGTGGGGAGGGGGGGTGAGGCAGGTCTAGGTGAGGAAGGTGGGGCTGAGGTGGGCTGAGGCGGGCCGAGTGGGAGGCGTGGCTGAGGCGGGCTGAGTGGGGGAGGTGGGGCTGAGTGGGGAGGTGGGGCTGAGTGGGGGAGGTGGGACTGAGTGGGGGAGGGGGGACTGAGTGGGGAACAGGGGCTGAGTGGGGAGGCGGGGCTGAGGCAGGGCTAAGTGGGGAGGTGGGGCTGAGGTGGGGGCTGAGGGGAGGTGGGGCTGAGGTGGGGCTGAGTGGGGAGGTGGGGCTGAGGTGGGCTGAGGGGGGAGGGCTGAGGAGAGTCCAGGTGAGGGAGGTGGGGGCTGAGGTGGGGCTGAGGTGGGGAGCTGAGTGGGGGAGGTCGCTGAGGCGGGGCTGAGTAGGAGGCAGTGGCTGGATGTGGGGCTGAGTGGGGGAGGTGGGGCTGAGTGGGGAACAGGGACTGAGTGGGGAGGCAGGGCTGAGTGGGGAAGCAGGGCTGAGGCGGGGCTGGAGTGGGAGGCGGCTGGAGTGGGAGGAGGCGGGGCTGAGTGGGGGAGGCGGCTGAGTGGGGAGATGGGCCGAGGCTGGTCCAGGTGAGGGCCGGGGCTGAGGGGAGGGGGCTGAGTGGAGAGGTCGGGCTGAGGCGGGGATGAGTAGGGAGGTGGGGCTGAGTAGGGGAGGCATAGCTGAGGCAGGGCTGGAGTGGGGAGGTGGGGGTGAGGGGGTCCAGGTGAG